GTTAGAGTTGAACATCTATATACAACGGAATGCTCACATTCAAGACCAATTTCGAAACCGTAAATCACCAGTTCAGATATGATGACATAATATTTTGGCTGTGGCAAGGCCACATAGATGAAGTCTCACGAAATTCACTGACTCTTCCGAAAATAAGCAACTATTTTGACTTTACCACTCTTCCAGAAGAGTTCGCGGCTCAACCGATACCAAAGTATGCACAAGAGTTGACTGGAAAAGCGTTAGAGGAATATGTCAACAATAAACAGTCGTTTTTTAAGGTCTGTTGTTCTGTGATACTTGATAGTCAATTAGTTTTTTCCTAGACAGGCAGATAATACTACTCAAGGTTTATCTAGGAATGAAGCGAGAATCAAGCACCTTCCCCTGAAGGACGCACTTCCTCTTTTGGATTTATATGAAGGGAGTGCATGGTGCTTAGTTTGAACCGTTGGTGCTCGGTTTCACCTGAAAACTTTCCTCAGCGTGAAACATCATGCAGAATGTCTGAATCAGCAAGGAGCATATTCGTTAATTCATAGCTCCAAAGGTGGATCGTGCATTCCTTCGCACGGATATCTTCCCTGACCTCTTTCTCATTGAACGATGTAACTTTCTCTAGACTCCATAAAAAACACCTAAAATCGAATATTGGTTGACGTCCAAATAATAATGAAGAAACTAAATACCTTTTCATATACCACAAACCGGTTTTTACTTTGGAAACAACCTTTACCTTCGTTCTATTTCGATAAATATTCAGGCTGAATATTCTCCGGAAGTTACCGAAAAGCGTCTGAATAATTTGATGAAAATGGAATTCCTTCATGCACCCCGTGGAGAACACCTAACAATGATGCCAGAGGAGCTGGATACAAATCAAGGAATTCCAGAAAGGTGATTAATTGCGATATTATGATTAGATGATATCAGTAATTTATGTGGTAGATAGTCGAACTAAAACTAGTCGAACTAAAAAGAAGCCATACTAGCCATTTGAAAGGATTTCAAACTGAAGACGTAATTGTAGAATGTTCTGAACTGCTAGTTTTCGTACGATACCGAGGTGAGGAAACAGCAACGCATAGTCGCGATGCAATCTTTTTCCTTAACGACTCAAAGAACGTGGGTGGAAACTCGTAACAAGGAGAAGTAGCCTAGCACTAATTATTCTCACTACTGCAATTATAGATTATACTTGAAGTCTTAAAAAAGTCTTTGGTGTCAATCAATTCCGTCTAGAGGATGCGCCCCGCACTCGACTTCCACTCGGAATCGTAGTGGCGTATTGAATGTATATACAATGACTATATATATGTATATATATAATATAATATACAATGGCTTGCGATGGCCAGTTGATGTACAAGTCAGTGCTTCTACCCTTCTAGACGAGCCTGGTACCCATCAACCGACCCCGGAGTGATAGAATACTTGTTTGACCTTAGCGGATAACGAACCGGTATTGAAACCCATGATCGATCGTGTGAAATAGCGCGCAACTTGCCTCTACACCGCTCTTTATTATACTTATTACAATTAATACTTTGTGCGAGTTTCTTGACCTTAGGCTTTACATGATGGAATAGCTGTGGCGTTGAGTATCGCTAACAAGGGGTGCCAGAAGTATCTCCTGATCAAGCCTGAAAACTCCGCCTTCAAAGACTATACCATACTGGGAGGAGATTTTGCAGTAATTATACAGTAAGCTAGTTAGCATGCAGTATAGCCGAGCTCAAAGTATTTTAAGTGATGAACTTTGGCCTATGGTAAGAATATACGTGCACCTGACTCGCCCTTCAATAATGTGGCTTGGCAGAGCTTAACAGGGAAATTATAAAACAAAAAGTGATGATTGATAGCAATAGTGGAATGCGATCAGCTTCAATCTACTGATTAGCTGTTACTAAGCATTGGTCAGGCCTCCATCTAACCCTAATCTGAATTCTCAAGAGGAAATGCAAATCATTTGAGAAGAATAAACAGGTGCTTCTTATCAGTTTAGCGAATTCGAGCGATACTAATGACAAAAGAGCGGTCGATCCTCGGAACTACAGCGGAAGTGACCTGGCATGGTGAAATATATGAGGATCAGGGTTCGGGTATGACGGGATATCCTCGGCCCGTCCTCTAGTGGCGCAGAATACGAAATCTGAAGGTTGAGAATTGCTAGCGTTCCATGGAGATAGTTAAGAAAACTTGAAATTATTGAAATTATTGAGACTTTCTCAGAGAATATCCGGTCTTTTTTCTTCATAAACGAAATTGAAATCCTGAACTTCGCCTGACAACTCATCGAGTGTCTGTTATTAAAAATGTTATTTCAGGCTGTATACATCATTTTCTGTTTAGTTTTGATGCTCGAGACAAATGGAAGAACTGTTCCTCGGTTATCGGTTACATTCGAGACCAGTCAAATTGCGGTATGATCATATAATATCGAGTTTTTAACGGAAAAGAAAAAATGACATCAGCTTCCTTAACTTGGCTCTCATCTAGAATCCTGAGGTCACAGAGAGTAAGGCTAATGGGTGCGCTTCTAGGGTGTGACGTGAATTAGTTATGTTGCCTTCCCATGGGTTCAGCTTGGCTACTAGATGTGGCACATTTGTTGTAGGACTCCTTTTCATTCTCTTTCACATAATATCCCGAGAGGACTAGCTGTGGGATGATTACAAGGACAGGCTTTCCCCCTTCAAAATGGACCACAAATTTGTGCGATTCAGACAATTCGTAGGCTAATTGAAACCTGTGTAAGCACTTACCTAGAGGTTTTGTAGCGCTGAACATGACCGACGTGGTATATGCCTAGAAATGTAAAAGGCTTTTCAGGGTCGTGTTGGGCCGTGTCAGCTGCGGAAACTATGTCCGATCGCCTTTGTATAGGGACAAATGGTAGGGTAAAGGTCAGTCAAAAATTTGTTAGTATTGGTATATAAGTTTTTTTTCTCAATACTGAGAAATTCGCTGCCGTAGAGAACATATATGTATATTCAATCGTTATCGATCCATCCTATCAGAGTAAGCTATTTGTGAAAAGCGAGGGCATGGCAGAGGATGCAGAATTCCTGCACTTTTTGAAATCGCCTCTTTCTGAAGTTCTCTGAAGCCACAACGGAGCTCCGCTGTGGCCACCATTACGTCAGGACCATTTTTCTGTAGACTTAAGGATCGGGTACAAAAGGGCATTTTACCGCTTGATGAATGCAACTCATAATGGATAATACTCCAGATTAACACTATTACAGACAATACTTTCGGACACCGATATCCTTTCATGCTGTGGAATGTCTTGTGGATTTGGGTAAGCTCTTTCTCTACTTGTTAAACTATTTTATATTCAATTATATGAAACTATACCTATTTCCGGTCACTATAATAAGGTCGAAGGTTGTAAGGGTTTCTTTTAGATAGAGTTAATTTTTTAGGCGTGTGCTTCCCTACATACGAAATGAAAATCCACTAAAAGATGGAATCACTTCTGTGAGAGGTAAAGTAATTAAAGAGGCTAAACAACTGCCTAGAAAGTCTCCAAAGTTCATCGTATGATGGATTCAAAATAGAGCGAGAGACTCTAAATTCTCAGTAAACCCAAACTTATCACTGAACTTGGTGCTCACTCGACGAGATCAAGGGAATTCCATGCGTCGGGAATGAGGTTAAAATGACCGAGGCAACACGTAACCACTGTATTTAAACAATAGGCTGGCAGTTTCGAAAATTCCCTGATCATTTCCGGAAAACTGGAGAAGCTCCTTACGTAGATGAATTGTGAAGGGCTTTGAAGTATGAACTCCATGTCTCATTTTCCGTTGCTATCCTTGACAACACTGGCTCAAGTGAAGAAGAACAAGCTTCTCGTGAGAGTTCTTTACGAACTTCATCATCACTGCAGATAAACCAAACGGTTGACATAGGGCATTGTATAGCTCTATTTATTGGCAGGTGCGAAGGAGGCTACGGCATTGAAGCATGGGGATATGCTAGAGATAGTGGTGTGTGCAGTGGAGGACGGTATGAAACAAAGGTAGGTGACATTGCTGTTTTATATTATCAGGAAGGGGAAATACGAAATAAGAAACAAATTTGTTTTCGAAGGAGGTGTTACAGCCACAAAAATCGCATGTCGTCCCTTCCTGATGTCTTCCGAGCTCAATTTTCACATGAACAGTCGAGTGTGCTAGATGTTCAGGGTAACTGCAAACCGTACGTTTTCTATCCATGTGGATTCAATGAAGGACAAAAAGCCTATGGTGACTGTCCAAACGACCGTGCATTTAAGACGCCCGTGTGCAAGAAATACTGTCAATATGGTTATGGGAAACGCTATAACCGCGACAAGGTCTTTGGTAGGTTTGACACTACATTTTTGCAATATGGAGTCTTGTTTTCTCTGCTTCACACAGAAGAGTTAAGTTTTATCATTGAGTTTACTGCTTTCTTGAACTCTTCACGAGGTTTTTAAAGTATTCTTTATTAGGCTGACGTTTCGGCGGAATCGCCTTCTTCAGAGCCTGAAAGGATCATAACAATTTGTGACTATCCGACCAAACGTCTCCACCAACCCCACTAAAGCTCGAGACCCCCAGGGCACACAAGTGACTGAAAGGAGAACCACTCACCGTAGCTTTGTGGATTCTTCGAAACCACCCAGCGAGTGATGGTACCAACCGACCAGTGTCAGCTGGGGTATGTCGTCATTAAAGCCTCTGCGGGAAGGCCAGCCTTATATAAGGTCGTAGCTCACGCGTGATTGCGAGACATTCTTCCCTACGATTCATTTTGGGACTGGTGACC